CATTTGCTTATTTGCTTTTTTGTATAGTTTCAGGCAGGCTCTTCCTACTTCTTTTAATTTTCTGAAACGTTACATAACGTGGCGTGACGTGACATATATTTCCATCGTTATATTTTTGTAAACATTGTTTTTAAATGAACTTTTGACGCAAATAAAACATGCATTTAAGGTCGAACATACTTTGTATTTTGACTTCAGGGCCAATTCAGGGAAATTTTTATGTTTCAACTATATACGCCAAATTCGAACCAAATCGGAACGCAAATACGGATTTACAAAATATCTCAACCCTGGCGCCACCTAAAAAGTCCCTTTTTACGCAAAAATTTTTCTGCTTACATAACCAGTATATATTTAAAAATTAAAAAAAAAAAAGAAATGGGGCTTCATCTCAAAAACTCTTATATTTGTTTATGTTTTCACTTCATATCTGCTTTAACCGTTAAACTTTTAATAAGAAATGCCACAGGTTGGATTCCTTGTCGATTAGTGTAATAAACGAGCGCAAATTTTTATATGTATATATAAAAACTTACTTTTCACTAACAGAGGATTACCCACAATCCGACACTTGAAATTTCGTTATGTACTTTAATCGCATAAAAGGGCCAAAGAAAACTTAACATTATAAATCTTTTAATATGATGTATGTATGTTTATAACTTTGACAGATGCAACGGGCAAATAAATTGCAGTTTAATATTCAACATTCACGCATTTTCCCTATTAAACTAATGTAAAATGGGCGAAAAATTTCAAATCGAAAATCCTTTCTAGCAAACAAGTAAATAAAGAGCTTCATTTCATTAATTAGGTAAAAAGGTAGAAAACAAGCGTAGGATTTTCTAATGAAAGCTGTTATAATCGTTCAAGTTGTATTCAAACACGTGCAGCGTGCAATTCAATATTTTCTAGAATCTTTTTCTTGCGAGATTTCTTAATAAGATGAGTGATTTTTTTTTTTCAATTTACTCACTTCCCCAACGCAATTGAATACCCTTCTACTGGAATAAACTTTTAATGTATGCCTCTGCATCCTATTCGCAACATAAAAAAATTAAAGTTAAAACATCAAAACTTTTGCGCTCATTAAAAGAGTTTAATACCATAAAACTTCACGTTTTTTCTTCGCG